AACTTCTTGAAGGTAGGCACCGTCTCATTTTTGTCTTTGTAACTTCAGTGCCTAATCCACTGCTCTGTACACAATAGGCATTTAATAAATGCCATTTTAATTGAATTGGAGAATACTAGCAAGAGTGGTTGTGCTCACAGAATTAGAAAAGATATCAGAGAGTCCAACATATATAGAAACCAAGAGCCTCTTCCTACTACATCTTGTGCTTGATGAATCACAGTGATGGCTCCCTGATGCCTTGATAATAGCCTTAGAGATGAAAGGACAAAGTAGGGCAAAGTTTTAGAAGTGTTTCCTGGCTAAGACAAATTTTTTGTCTGAGGGTTCTCTGATCTTTTGGAATCCAAATACCTTGCCCTCTCTTTACCCAACATGGTAGGCAGGAGATGCTTCTAGAACTTCTCCCTAACTCTCTTCCATTACTATGTGAAATACCTCCAGAAATATGAAGAATGAGGGTCAAAGGGTACCAGTGTTTAGGCCTCTTGGGTATGCTGGGTATGCTAAGTAATGGCTAGTCTCTAATATAGTAGTCTCTCAAATTGTTGAATCAATTTGTTCCAGAAGTTCAATTAAGTTGAATTGAAACTGAGTGCATTTATTTTTCTCTACAAATAGTGTTAAAACCTTGATCAGGTTCCCAGATCAACCCCCCAGAGCATATTTAATTTCATTATGTATCTTAACTATAGTACTAATAGGATGAGCTTGAATTTTGGGTACTGTGAGAAAGAGGAAGAGGAAAAGTGTTTTCTTTCTTTTTCCCAGTTTTAGGGTCAGTCCTAGGCAAAATTCTGAAGTTTATGTAAAGTTTTTTTTTGGGGGGGGGTGGGTAGATGGTGGTGAAGGAGTGTTATCTCACTTTCCTCTCAACTTATGCATTCTGGCATCCATTCAAGTCTTCCCTGCCTCCCTCCAACCTCCCCAAAGTGCTCCAAGCTCTAAAATTATTTACCTCCTATCTCCTGCTTCTCTAATCAAAACTTCCTTCCTTCGGTGCAGCTGTCTCAGCTAGATGTTAGGAGAGATTCATGCTAATTTGAGAGTGAGTGATCCTTGCATGATCCTTGCATGACGGGTTGTCCCATATGCACCTCAAACGCAACATGTCAAAAACAGAACTCATTATTTCCCCCATTCCTCTTTTGAACTTCCCTATTTCTACTGAGGGCATTGGTATTCTTCCAGTAATACAGATTAGCAACCGGGAGTCCTCCTCAACTCCCGCTCTTCCTTACTCCACAATGTTACAAAGTCTCGTTAGTTACTATCTGCGCAACATCTCTTTAATCTATCCCCATCTCTCCACTTACATGGCCACCACTCCTGTACAGGCTCTTATCACTTCTCACTGAGACTATTATAATAGCCTCTTTTATTGGTCTCATGGCCTCCAGGCTTTTCCTTTTCCAGTCCATACTCCGAAGTGATTTTCCCAACTATAAAATATAAACTCTGTAAGACATTTAAAGCATTCACAGCCTGAAACCAACCTACCTTTCCAGTCTTATTATACATTAGTCTCCTTCATACGCCTGGTTCAGCTAAACTGGCCTTCATGCTACCGTTCATGCTCATTTCATCTCATATCTTTCTTCCTTTGTATGGATTAGCCCTGGTATCTGGAGTATACTTCCTCAACACCTCCACATCTTAGAATCTCTTGTTTCCTGAACTCAAGCATCTCTGTATACTCAGGCCTTTCCTGTTCCCCCACGCAGATGCTAGCACTCTCCTCACTACTAGCACATCACATTTATTTTGTATTTATTTTCTGTGTCTTCATCTGTGTATGTTTTGTCTCCCTGACTCCTTGGGAACAGAACTGTTTTTGTTTTTGTCTTTGCATACATGTTGCCTATCATACATACAGTAGATGATTAATAAGTGCTTTCATATTGATTGATTGCTTCTTTACCTTGGCAGAGGTATCTCAATTTTAAAAAAAGACCATTTGTTAACTCAAATTAATCTCAAATTGATGGAATTTTAGGCAGTGACAAAACTAGGGAAAATTCATGAACTTTATGGGGGAAGATATTTTGGGGTCAGTGGGGAGCTACCACATTGTTCCTGGCTCAGAATTTCCCTATAGTTTTTGCTTTCTACTTCTAAAACAAGAGATCCTCCCCTTGCACCCCACCCTGAAATGGCTGAAATGGCAAGAGAAGGGTGTGGGCATGGGAAAGGGGAAGGGGACTGTGGGAGTGGCAGCAGGTGCTACCTGAATGGGAAGTTTGGGAGGTAGAGGCAGCACATTTTCATTAAACTTCACAGGTATTTTTTCTCCCTCTCCCATCTTGACCTTATTTACTACTGAGAGCATCTGTACCTCATTGTGGGCTTTGTAATAAGAAAGGACAATGTTCCCCAGCTGTGCTCTTCTCAAGAAGGAGTTGTTGATGGTTTGCATTTGGTGTTGAAGAGATCCTTGGCTCTGGGGATTGGCAGCATCTGGGTTGCCCAGCATGCTGCAGTCCTCAGATAACTGGTAAAGAATGTGCAAAAGGCAGCATGGCTGGTTTTACCTCATGCCCTGTCCCCACCCTTTGCACAGATTCATGCAAACACGTAGATTGGGCTCTTCTATGGAAGAGGCCCAAAGACTCTTCTCTCGGGCAAGGCCTCCATATGTGACCCCATTATATGCTTTTTATGTGTGGATACACCCTCCCTTTTTTTTTTAAAGAAAAGCAAAAGATAGAAAAAGAGAAAGAAAGAAAGGCCATTGTTGATAGACCACTTAGAAAGAAACCCCAATTCCTAACAGCTGCAATTCTTTTTCTGTATTGTGGTTTCTTGATGTTTTGATGGGATTTGAACAGTGAAAGATAATCCAACCCTTGAGTCAGTCTGTCAGTCAGCATAGGTGCTAAGAGCTGGGTGCAAAGAAAGGCACAAAACATCCCTGCTCATAAAGAGCTCAATCTAATTTGAAAATCAACAGGCAAACAGCCACCAAGTAATTACATGCAGGATAAAATGGAAATAATCAACTGAGGGGAGGCACTCACATTAGAGGGAATTGGGAAAAGTTTCTTGTGGAAGGAGGGATTTTAGCTGGATGTGAAGGAAGTGAAGAAATAGATGAAGATAGAGAGAATTCCAAACATGAGGGACAGGCAGTGAAAATGCCTGGAGTCAGGAGATGGAATATTTTGTGTGAAGAGCAGTAAGCAGCCTTGTGTCACTGAATCTCAGAGTATATGGGGAGAGTAAGGTTTAAGAAGACTGGTAAGGGAGTAGAGGGCTGGGTAGTGAAAGGCTTGGAATGCCACAGGGTTTTATGTTTGATCCTGGAGGCGATAGGGAGCCACTGGAGTTGATGGAATTTGGGGAGGAGTTGGGGAGGCAGCCTGGTCAGACATACTGTTTAGGAAGATTAGTTTTGGCAGCTGAGTGAAGGATGGACTGGAGTGGAGAGAGTCGAGGCCAGGAGACCAATCAGCAGGCTGTTGCAATAGTGCAGGACCAAGGTGATGGGGAGCTAGGTGGTCCAGTGGATAGAGTGCCTGGCCTGGGGTCTGGAAGCCCAGAATTCAACTCTACCCTCACACTCAGCTTAGCGCCCCCCCCTTCTATCTTCGTTTGACACCACTGCTCTAAGCAACACTGCTTTTGAATGAGTATTTGATTAAAATACAATAATTATTATTCTTTAAGTGAAATTCCCAGAAAATACTGAAACCTCACTTTGGCCAATAGTACTAGTCTCTTTAGAGGCAGCTAGGAGGCTTAGTGGATAAAGTTCTGGACCTGGAGTCAGGAAGACTCGAGTTCAAATTTGTCTTCAGCTGTGTGACCCTGGCCAAGTCATTTGACCTCCATTTGCCTTGGAGAGGTATATGGAGTGTTTGGGTAAGACTAGCACCTCTGGTGTGAAGGCTTGCCAAGTCATTTTTGGGGATGCTCGTTTACCTCTGGTGTCCACCTGTCACTCAACTCTCACTTGTGACTCCAAGAAACCATAGTATGTGCAGCAGCCATACCCCAGGCTGAGGATAACCAGCAGACCTCAAAGCCATCAGTGAGTTAGGGGAATGTCTACCCCAAACATGAGAAGACTTCCCGGGGCTGGGGTGTGTGTGGGGGGTCTGAGTGTGTGGGAATGGGCAGATGAGAACAATTTGTTTCAACAGCCCTGAAGGTAGCAAAAGCAGGCACTTCGGAGCACTTAGAGCTTGGTTAGACATTGAAGATGCCAAGGTCATTCACTACATCCTGGCCATGGCCACTTGCCTTTTGTCCTGCCACTGGATTTCGATGACTCTGGAAGAGAGACTGACAGCTTTGTTCAACTCTGCCTCACTTAAATCCAATTCACCTGCATGTCAAGACATCGTCCTGTGATGGTCCTTTTCTAAAAAGAAGGATGAACAGTAGCCTTCGAAACAGCCAGATTGCTCAGTGGATAGAGTGCTGGGCCTGGAGTCAGGAAGACCAGAGTTCAAATCTGGTTTCAGACACTCACTAGCTGTGTGACCCTGGACAAGTCACTAAACCTCTGTTTGCTTTAATTCACTGGAGAAGGAGATGGAAAATCACTCCATTATCTTTGCTAAGAAAACCTCATATGGGGTCACGAAGAGTTGGATATGACTGAATAACAGCTAGTTCCTTTACCAGCATTCCCAACAGATGCTGAAATTGAATAATAGAAACTTCTCTCCACTTGCCCATGTGGACATCAGTAGATTTTGAGTGAAAAGGCCCAGAGGTTTTCAGGAGGAGAGAAAAGGCGGTGGCCAGGGCCTTTGTGATCTGAGGCCTAGTCAATAAAATCTAAAATAATTGAGAGGTTATTATCCACAAGTTGACAGGAGTCCAAAACCCATCTAGGTCAAACCTAATATCACTGGTATTCAGCTAGTAAAACAAGTCAAAACATGACCAGGGCTGGTACCTTCTCTTTATCTTCAGGTAGGGCGGCTCCCATGCTCATGTCCTAACCCTGATTAAATAATGCGATTCCTTCCTTCTATCCTCTTAATCATGAGCAGGGCAGATTCATTTCTATGGAGCTGATGGGGCACAACCTTCTTTTGCTTTCTGGGAGCCAGGCAGCTGAATTATGATCCACCAGGGGTAGGTCTTTTGGGATGGCTGGTGTCTAGGTGATGACTGGTGCATGGGGTCTTCGTGGGAGGGCAAAATGAATATATATATATATATATATATGTATATATTTTTTTTTTTTTGCCTTTTGGAGTGACCAGGGTCACAATCAGTATATGCTATAAATTTTGTTTTTGGGTTTTAACAGACAAATTTGAGAGGCTCCTCTCTTGCCTTAATTGTGTGTGTGTGTGTGTGTAGACACAGAGAGAGATGGGAAGGAAGAGGAGAGAAGAAGAGGAGGGGAAAGTGAGAGAATAAATCCACCGTGTACCCCTCCCCTTATGCCTTCTACCACCCTACCATGTACAGGCAATGCTTGTGGATGAATGAATTAATAAGCATTTATTATGCACTTACCACACCAAAGTATTGTGCTAGGTGCTGGAGATATAAATATAAAAGCAAGACAATCCCTCCTCTTAAGTAGCTCACATTTGAATACAACATTTTTGTGGACCTAGAGCTGGGAGGAACCTCCGAGACCTTCTTCTCCAACCCCTACAGAGTGGCAGGAGTGGGATTTGGACTCCGGCTCTATAATATCTGAGCCAATGCTTGTTCCACTTTATCAGGTTACCGCCAAAATTGATTATTGACTGGCTCTCGGATCCATTTAAAAAATCTCTTCTGTTTGGATTTTTGCTAGCTTCTTAAAAGAAAGGGAGGATAAAATAATTCACAATAAGTTGTGAATGAGTGAAAACAGGACTTAAATCAGAAGTACTTACACTTTAAAAGAACCTACTTGTTAATGCCAAGGAATGATTATGTAAAGGTAAAATTTCAGACTATGTGAGGGGTTGAGTTGGGGGTGGGGAGGTCAGATTCTTGAGTGGAGCCTTTCATTCTTTAGCCACTTAAGGATTACCTACCCTTATCCCTTATTCTTAAATTATTAAATCCTCCTTTTAGTCACAAATATCAGTCTTTGGGATGCTAGGATTTGGGGCTAGAATGACCCTTCAAGACCATCTAGTTCTAGTCCAGTCTCCTCATTTTGTAGATAAAGCAACTGACCTGGAGGGGTAAGAGGTGACACAGTAAGAGGTAGATCTGTGATTTGAACCCAGGTCCTCTCACTGCAAATCCAGAGCTCTTCCCATTACTCCTCACATTGCCAGTTTAGGACAGTTTCAAAGCCCCTTCATATCAAAGTCTTCTTGTTCATTCATTTCAGTTGTGTCTGACTCTTTATGACCTCATTTGGGGTTTTCTTGGCAAAGATATTGGAGTATTTTGCCATTTCCTTCTCATTTTGCAGATAAGGAAACTGAGGCAAACTGGGTTAAGTGACTTGCCCAGTGTCTGAGGCCAGATCTGAACTCAGGAAGATGAGTCTTCTTGACTCCAGGGCCAGCACTCTATCCACTTAACCACCTAGCTGCCCAAATCATAGTCTTACCGAAAATAAAATTATAATACCTAGGCCACTCTGAAATTCTGCCCATTTGGAACTTAGGTTGTGATTGCACAATTACAGGTTTATCCACATTGAAGTGGAAACTTTTGTGCTTTAGTCTATTTGGGTCTCTTTTGTATAGGTCCTCCTTCCTTTTCCTAAAGAAAAGCACTGAGCATGTCATCTTATTACTATAGTCAGGTGTACAATTCTGGGGCATCACATTTTGTCTGTCACCTGGCTTTACTGGCTTATTACACATTGCTCTACTTCATACACCTTTCAGTCCAGCCCCCCTGGCCTTTGTAATGTTCCTTACATAGGACACTCCCTCTCCTGTCCCTGTACCTTTGCAGGCTTTCCTTCATGCCTGGAATGCACTTCTCCCAAGTAAAGCTTAGAATCTTTAGCTCCTACATGAGCTTTTTCCTAAGCCTCCACCCTTTTCAGCTGCTACCGCCTTCTTTGTGAAATTGCCTTGTATCCCCTCCACAGACTATAACATCCTTGAGGGCAGGGGTTATTTATTTATTATTTATTTATTTTTCACTTTTTATCCTCACTACTAAAATTTGTGTAGGCACATAACAAAATTCTTGTTGACCTTTGGTTATATGCTTCTTAAACATCATTCTGTTGTCAGTTCTGTGAACTAGTGTTAAACTTTTGTAGTTTAGCATTTTGAATTTTTTTTCAGTGATGAGGCATTGATGTTTGGGAGTAGGGCTAGGCTATACATGGGAGGGGATCCCTTTCAAGTCTTGATTTCCTTGATTCTAAGATTCTAGGATTGCTCGGAGCTTATCTGTATTATCTATAACAGAAAAATTGTGTTACAGAAGACGGTTGAATTTTCTGCATTGAGAGCCAGCCTGGGGAGGATACAGTCAATATTCAAAACCCCATTACTTAGCTTTGGAACAAAGTGATAACATTTCTTCCTAATCAGTCATTTCTTACAGCATCTGAGTGAGGAGGGTGCATGTGTGTATGCTCCTCTGCCTAATTGCAATCATGCTTCTTTCTTTACTGAATAGAGGAGGTATTGAGGAGTGGTATCTCAAAATTCATGCTTCTGGGCTGACTGTCTGCCCTGGCTTTCAGGAGAAATCTCCGAGGTTGCAGGGTTTTTTGCTAGTGGGGCCAAAAATGCTTAGCAACCAGTTTTATTGTGATGGTACCAGAAGTGATTAAGCTCAGGCAGAGACTTTTGGGGAGTCCCTTCTTACAGCCAGCCTGGCTTATTGTCTATCATTTCAGTGCCTGAAATCACCATGTTGTTAATTCTGTCATTTATTTAAACCCTAAAAAATATGGCAGTTCACATGAGCCTGTGTGGTGCAATGGGGAATTGGAATGAGGACACTTGGATTCAGGTCTTTCTGCAAACTCTTACTAGTTGTATGGGCATGGGCAAGTCACTTAATCAGCAGAACCTCAGTTTCCTTATCTGTAAAACAAGAGAGAATAATACTTGTCTTGTCTACCTCATAGGTAGGATTCATGTGCTTAGTAAACTTTCAGTTGCTATGTACATGTAAGTTTTTATTAATATTATAATGAAAAAACCCCAAACATTCATGGGGGTTTTTTTGGAGGGGTTAGTAGTATAATGAACACGTCCTTCTTACCTGGTATTTCTGTGCCAATGGTGAGAGTGGCATGGCTATTTTCAAGGCCATTCTAGATCATTAGACCCAGTAAGAAGTGGGCTCTCCATATGAGGAAACCAGTTTCAAAAAGCAAAAAGAGGTTCCAGTTGTCCATTTGACTAGGGCCAAGTTCAGCCTAGGTTGTCCCTTTGTAACTATTTCTTATTTATATATTATTCATTTTAAAAGTAACTCTTTTTTTATTCAAGTTTTTCAATTCTTTTCATTAGGTGAGAAAAACATTCTATCCATCTTCCCTTCTAGCTCATCTACTCTTTGTGGTACAGAAGATAACTTGTGTGGCCTTAGTATTGTTATGTAATTATATTCAATTATATAGCATATTAGCATAATTATGTAATAGTGCCTTGTATCTGTATAGCATCTTATGGTTTATGAAGTATATTCCTTGAATATCATCTCATTTGACCTCTACAGCTACCTTGTGATGTGTCAAGTGGGCATTGTTACCTCCATTTTACTATGAGGAGACTTTGGATCAGAGAAATTAAGTAGTTTGCCCAAAGTTATGCAGATAGGGTTAGAACAGAAGTGGGACTCAAATCTACAAGAAAATAACAGGTATATCCTATTGGAGATAGTGGTTTCATGGATTGGAATGTTTTGAAGTTAGACTGCCACTAGCCAAAGCAGTGCTGGTCCTATTTACACTTGAGTGATAATATTTGTCTGTAATTGGGTGCTATTTGGTTCTTATAATTTGGTAAGGCCCCCTTTTTTTTCTCTTTCCAAATCTTACTTTTACTGTTGATTTATTTTATAAACCTTTTATTCAAAATGCCCATGTCCACTAATTCAGCACTGGCGATGATGTGAAACCTAATTAGGTTTTTCTTTCTTTTTTAAATGCAAAATGTCTAAACTTTTTTTTTTCCCCATAAAGCCACCAATTCAGTTATAGAGAAGGAAGAACGCTTAGATCATCTCTCTTTAGGACCTGTTGGGGCAGGTTTATTTTTCTGTTATGAGTTAACTTTGTGGTGAATCTTGACAGATTTCCAGGAAGAATTGTACTGTGAGTCCCACGCCTCCTCTCCCACATACCTTTGTAATGGAGGCGATCGTACCTCCTCTACCTACCTCATTGGCTTGTTTTGAGGAGCTAATGGCATAGTATTTGGAGGCAGCCTGGTGCTAAGGAAAAGAGTATGGCATTGGACTCAGAGGCCTGATGTGATAGGGATTAGAGGCATTATCTCCATTTTATATGTGAGGAGACCAAGATTTAGGTTAAGCAATTTGCTCATAGTCATGCAGCTAGCAAATTTTTGCAGGTAGGATTTGAAGTTACTTCAAATGTAACTTGTACTTCAAATGTACTTGGCCTTTATGGATCCAAGGCTAGCTGTCTTTTCACTATATCATAATGCCCCTAATGGTCACCTGAGGTTATATCTGAATCCACATCAGATAACTCAGGATGCTAAATCAAATTTGCCAGAAATTTCTGTGGGCCAGTTCTCAACTTTAAGTAGAGCTACATAACCAAAATGAGTTGGTATAATATAGAGCAGGGGGTTTAATTAAATTAATTAATTATTTTAAAATAGTATTTTATTTTTTCCAATTACATGTAAAGACAATTTTTAACATTATTAAAACATTTTTCTTGAGTTCCAAATTTTTCTCCGGCCCCCTCCCTAAAATGGTAAGCAATTTGATATAGGTTATATATGTGTAATCATGTAAAACATGTTTCCATATTAGTCATGTTGTAAAAGAAGAAAAAGACTGAGGAAAAAAAAACACGAAAAAAGTAAAGAAAATGAAAACAGTGTGCTTTGCTCTACATTCAGAGCTCATCAGTTCTTTCTCTGAACGTGGATAGCATTTTCCATCATGAGGCCTTTGGAATTATTTTGGATCATCGTATTTCTGAAAAGCTCTAAGTCATT